ATGCAGTGTGGTGACCAATACAGAGCTGTATAGTTAAAATTGTTCAGTCAATATTCCATTCTTATTAAGTATTAACACTACATAACCTTGAATACATGTTAATTAACCTTGAATACGTGTCACACTTCAGGGGGGAGTTTCAGTGGTTTAACAATTTATTCTTTACTCGTGACCAATGACATGTACTTCCTCTTGGCAAGTGGGGAGCGAGAGATCGTTAAATATCAAGACAATCAAGACCATTTCTCTCTCCAAGGCTGTGCTGGGTTCTCTGCTGTTCAAACTAAACTTTTCCTGATGTGGTTCAGGTGGGCAGCTGCGTCAGCATGCGTAAGCTGCAAAGGAACAAGTAATACGTTTATTCCATTCTGAAAAGAGAAGACAGAAAAGACAACGTTTCAGCTGTGGAGCCTTCTTCGGGTGTAAGAAAGATAGGGCAGTCAGCAAAGATAATATAGCCTGGGAAAACACAAGCCAGGAGAGAGGAGGAGGCGGGAGCAGGGGAGAGGCAGGGCAGCCTGATGTGTTTTCTTTTGTATCTAACCAACAGATGGAGCTGTTGCGCTCCTACTTCTGGCTCTGGGTGACTATAGGAATGGTGTTTGTCTCCATTTTCCTGTGTTTTCTCTTCTTCCTGATCAACAAGTGTATCGCAAAGAAAGGTACTCTAAATACTTAAACCACTTTACTGTGTTTTTTAAGTCTTTTGGGCTTCAGTGACATTGCATGAACTTAACCATTATTGTTTCTGTTGCTCATGTTGTTTTGAAAGAACAAGAAATCATAATAACACCTGTACTTCTTCAAATGTTCAAAGTACCACTGCATCTATAAAAATGTGTGGGCTTTATTAATGCACTTATTAATTTCTATAGCATAATTGTCTGCACCACTGTTTGTTGAAATGACATACAGTAGATGCCCCAGTAAATAAGATTAGGCAGCTGATATTGAAAAGAAACTGCATCACCATTGAAGCACATCTCAGAGCTCACAAAAGGACTTTTTATGGACTGAGGACCAAGAGGAAGGATAAAGATAGCAGTTGAATTGGAGTATATAGTGCTAGTCTCATGTATAGTCTTAATTGGCTTTTGGCTACTGACTATCATAATTGCAGTTCATAACCTGTTCACACTAGCCTTGAATTTGTACCTACATGCTGCATTGCTTTAAAAATACACTGAAATACCCCCTCTCCAACTCACCTTTTTATTTCCATATTCTCTTTAGTGAAGAAGAGATAAAGGCAAGCTCCATTATTTAAGTTGAACTCACAATCACCACCAATTTCCTCTTCATCTGCCTGTCCTACCTTCTTATTTTGTCTATGTCTTTACAGAACCAACTTTTTTTAAACCAGATCCACAACCCAACAATTATTATGCCAGGTAAGTTTCAGAAGTCTTATCGGCTTGGCTCCATATTGCATCCTGCAGATTATGAAACTGTTTGGCTTTCTACTGCAAGACGCAACAGATTTCTTACCACTGATCAGTGGTAAGTTGCATTATCCACTATGTCACATAGAACTCGGGTTTATTTTACCTTTCAGGAGTAGTCAGTATCACCCTAAAGACCTGGGAGAGGAGCTACCCCCACTTCCTCCAAGAGTCCTAGATTTTCCATCATGTCCCAGTGCTGTTTCACATTTCTCAGACTGCTCCATGGAAAAAGGTGAGATCTGGTGGCGTTTCTTCTTATTAACAAGATACAGATATCTCTCAGCCCTTATGATCTATGTGCCACAACCACTGTACATCAACAGAAATGTTTTACATTCTATGAACACTATGAAGAGTGACTTTATTAGAATCTAGTGGTCACTCAATATTCTCCTAAGTCGTCTACATGCACCTCTTAGAAATAGAAATTTGGGAAATATGAATAGGGACACCTGTTTTGCACACATCGTGAGCTGCTCAGTGCCGCTTTTGAAATGGGTATATGTGTTGTGGGAATGTGCAGAGCTGACTTCACATGTGTGTTCACATGCAGTCACCAAATGTCCTGAAGACACCGAAAAAGTTCCAGACTACGTGAAAGTGGTGGCGACCCCACCCCTGACGGAGCGCAAGGAGGTGGCCGTGGCCATGGCCGTGCCCGTGCCCGTGCCCCCTTGTGCCCCAGAGTGCCAGGACTCGGAGGAATACGATGACGTGGTTTCGCCGGGATACGTCAGTGAGGACTACGATGACGTGGTGTGAAGCAGGTGCTGTTGGAGTCCCGGAGCCCAGAAACCAGGACAGAGAGCTTGTCCAGCTGCCTGTGGTGTTTTTACAGCATTGCCTGGGGACCAAGGGAGTCCTAAATGTTGGACTTTTTTAATCCTCCTGCTAGAATTGGTGAAAATGGCTTTTTTCCAATCAGACAGTGGCCGTGAAAAAGTTTCCTTGAATAGTAAATCTGAAGACTTCATAGACTTTCATAGAATTACGAACTACTGCTATCGGCATTTCAGGTCTCAGGTGTCCTGACCTTCAAGAATGAATGTCTAATGTAGGTTCTTACCTCCACATTTTCTCAAATTTTCATAAAGCTGATGGATTGCATTCTTTCAAACCTATGCTGCAAAAGCAATAGCAGGCTGTTCTGAAACTGGAGGGAGTGAAGAGTATCAGAGATTTTTATACAGTTTTTATACAGGGTATTTGCTCAAATCCATCCTGTTTACCTCACAGTTAGTCCAAGGCCCTGCACTGGAATCTGTCTACCGATCTCTCTCTATGAAAGTGTCTGCTTCCAGTAGACAACATGGCAAAGTATTAATTCCACCAAGAGCTGCACTACAGATATAGGAATCTTGGGAAGTAAAAAGAAGAATTAGTTCTGAGATAAGCCCAGATAAGCCCCATGTTTGGTTTTAAAAGTAAACAATGATCTACTATGCCACCTGCTCAAATGTCTTTGATAAAACTGCTAACACCTGGAAAATGTTCAAATTAATACCCAGTCTACAGTATTAAGTGCTATATGGTTTTCAGATTCATCACGTGCCTCAAGCAATTTCCATCTTCTTCCTGAAGTAATATTGCCCTTGAGCAGAAGAGGGAATTCTGCCTGTGATTTGACCCCTGGAGGTCAGATGGCAGCACATGACTGAGGTATAAAGAAGATATAAAGTTTACAATTTCAAAGTTAAAACATGACAGAATAACTAGTCACACTCGGCACAAGGTAGGAAGATCACAGTTTTAAGAGCAGTGACTGAGGCTAAAAGTGAAACTATCTTCAAATTGGGGACAAATGTTGCTTTATCTTTTTAAATATTACGCATTGGAATCAAAAGAATAATTCTAATTCACTGTGAATACATTGTGCAGAGAAAAATATGTTATAGACATCTCTTCAGGAACTGACCTGTATTATTTTGTATTCAGATTATTTTAAATATACTATTGGATTTGTGCATTGGAAACTCATACAACCAAGCTTGGAAAGGCCAAGGAGTTTTTGAAAGGGCAGTAAGAGAGAGATGCTTTTGTTTTGTTTACTTTTGTTATAAACTCCAGTCACAGAGCGTACTTTAAGGAGATGACCTCTCACAGTATTTTGAGCATATGGTTAAATGACACTCCAAGACATCCCATCTCTTGTTTTGTATGTGGTTACAGTTAAAATGACCTGTTTCTGGACTTATGCTGTTGATAATAATTGCTATAGGACTTGTGTTTCATTAAAAGTAAAACTTCTAATTTCATTTTAAAAGGTAATGTTTTATAATGAACTCTGGTAAGAAGTACTAAATAGGTTCAAGATTTAGTAGCAATAAAGCATGCTTTACACTGCCTACTGTGCAGTTTTGGTGTTTTTCCCTCCCACCTCCAGTGTGGCTTTGTAAGAAATGCGACAGAAGAAAGCAGGCTATTTCAGCCAGCCTTGCTCCTGTGAATGGCCTTCATTATTCAAGCTCTTCTCAAGCTGAAGAATTCCCCTGAACTGGCTTCCCACAGGCTGCAGAAAAAGTCTAATGTCTAGCGTTCTGTTCAGTTGTGGGTTATTTCCAATACACAGCATTTAAGTGATCTTTATGGAATGTTTCTGCTTAGCGTTTCTAAAAACAAGCTGCTTTTGGGGAACTGAAAGAGAAAATAAAAGAAAAACCTGCAGGCCTTTTGCTCCACAACAAAGTGAAGTGCTATACCCAGACAGCAAAATTTTTTATTGCTATGGCTTTACTCTGAAAACCTGCTACATTAGACCCAGTATCCAGATTGATTTGTAGATGCTACCAGTATTTCACATGTAGCATTTAACCACATAAAAAACAGGAAGTAAATTGCAGCAGACAAGCTAAAGAAAGTGCTGCAGTTACAGAAGCTCTGCCACTAGAGGCCACTATACAGCCTCTAATCTTTGTCAACTGCCACAGGGGGTGTTAATTACTCATTCAATAATTGTTGAAGAGTTCAAAATGTCATTCTCGCAAAGGTGTAATTAGGCACTTTTGGCATATAAAGGGCATACAGTGATGGCTGTAAAACCTGAAAAAGTGATTGAGTGATTAACATTGCTGGCTCTCAGCCCTGTGGCCCCGAGTTCAGTTCCTGACGTGGTATCTACATGGAGTTCGTATGTTATCCACACGCTTGCATGGGTCTCAAGACATACTACTAAGCTAACTAGCTTCTGGGAAAACTGGTCCTGGTGGGAGTCTGGGCCCTGCGCCCGCTGCTCGCCAGGAGAGGCTCCATCTCCACCATGACCCTGTACAGGACAAAGCAGTTCGAAAATGAATGGATGGATAGGCTAGTAAATAAAGCTAGTAAATAAATAAAGCAAATAAAGCTTTCCAGACTTCACTTCATGAGGGTCTTGTGTTTTTTTGAGTGCTGACCATTTGACCACCATAGTCAAGTGTAAGGTTTTGGCACATTATTATTCAGCACTTAGACAATCATGTTATTGGATGGCTTAAGTGTAATCGTGCATCTGTGCAATTCTCGAACACTGGATTTGGCCAGCAGTAACCTATATAAAGGAAATACTCGCTACTAAAGTGATCTATACAATTATTTTTATCACAACCAATAATTAACTAATTTTAATGTTTGCATTATTTAGGCTATTTTGTTGTGTGTACTCAAAGACATTACATGGATCCGAGCCCAAAAATGAAGTGTCAGGAAAGAAAAACACCAACACTTCCATTCCTACATGTAGATCTTCAATATAATTATAAATACAAAAATGTAGAGTGTAAAAAAAAAAAAGAGACGGCTCTGGACATCAGAAACAATCCAAGATTTTGTTTTGCATTTTGTTTCCTCCCTTCTGATCGGTGTTACTCATTTGATCAATATAATAAAATTAAGAGAAACAAGCGGTATTCCAGCAGGCCATGTGCTCCCCAGCAGCAGTCACTTCCTGGAAACCCAGGGGTGTAGGTTTGTGCACTCGGAAATGGTCTCTAGAGACAGTCCGGCCAGTGAAACTCTCTCGTCAGGGGACTTGTCATGTGTCAGCCAGCAGAACCTCCATTAACTGGTCTCTCAGTATAGAGAGGGCTTTCACCCTCTAAATCCGAAAGAGAAATGGGGTGAAAAAGGTGTTCCACAGCTGTCCGAAGAACCTGTCCTCCCATGATGTCGCTCCTGGGATGTGGACAGACTAACCCCCTAGACGCTGGCCCTCTCCCCAGGGAAACCCGCCCGGTCGCTCCTCGGGGAGGGGGTTGTAGTTCACATCGTCTTCCGGGGTGTCAAACAAGATTTTACTATGGGGAGATTAAAGAAGTATGTTAAAGAAGTAACTGCAACTCACATCTGGCAGCCCGCTGAAGCTCAGCAGGTGTGAGCCTGGCCAGTACCTGGATGGTAAAGCTAAGGCTGCTGCTGGAAGAGGTGTTAGTGGGGCCAGTAGGAGGCCTCACCCTGTGGTCTGTGTGGATCCTAGTGCCCCAGTATTGTGATACACTATAATGTAAAAAGGCACCATTCTTCAGATGAGAGGTAAAACTGAGTTCCTGACTCTCCGTGGTCATTACAAACCCCAGGGCATGTCTTAAAAAGAGTAGGGGCGTTAACCCCGGTGTCCTGGCCAATCTCCCCCATCCTTTACCAGTCATAACTTCCTGACAATCCCCACCCATCATCCAGCTGGGTGCTACACAGTGGTGATGGAGGGGAGTCCCCATTGCCTGTAAAGTGCTTTAAGTGGTGTGTCCAGAAAAGTGTTCTATAACTGTAAGGAACTGTTAAACAAGATGTTCACAAAGAAGGGTTGAAGCCTTAACCGTCCCAGCCGGTCTCATAAGCAATCCCTCCCAGTAACTCACAGAATGGCAGGAGTCTTGAGCCAGCGAGTGCCCCCAGGCTGGTGAGGGAAGACATCCTCCAAGAAGAAATAGACATGTCCCACCGCGATGCCTGGGAATGGGGATAAATAAGACCAATCAGGCCTTCAGGATCCCAGACAGGAGAAGTGTTATACCAGTGCTACACTGAGAATCTAACCGCTCGCCTTCTCAGTGAGGCCACACGGATTAAGCAATAAGCCATCAGTAGTTCTTGACATGGAACTACACCCTAGGAAAGCAAAACTGCGATCTCTTTCAAATCTCAGTGTCTACTTTTGGTCACCACTCCCCACACAAAAGGACACGGTTAACAGAAAGAGTTCAAAGCAGTGCATCCATTTCTGAGGCGCGGTCGAGTTACCCAGCAGATCCACGATGATGGAGTTACCAAGCAGCAGAGAGAAGCCCATGAGCACCCAGGGCAGGAATGGCGCCTGGAAGTTGAGCAGGCCGAAGAAGTTCATGCGCACGTTGGGATTACGCCGGCTCCATATGTACACCAACATGATCGTGAAGGCCTGGCCCAGGAACACCAAGCTCACAAACATGCCAAATATCTGAGCATCAGTGAAGGAGATGACGGGAGTCTGCATGGTCGCTAAAAGTCTTGCAGGTTTGAACTACAGGGAATGAGAAGAAATGGAATAAATACTGGGTGGGACCCCGAGACTGGGCTGTAAAGCCTGGATGTTTAATAAAGTACATGTCAAAAGTCTGTGTAATCAGTTAATTCATAATAGGACTGCCCCCTCACACCCCTTGTCAAATCTCCCATTGTAAAGATATGTAGCAAGTAAACAATCTCTGCTGCCACTGACTGGTAAAAAAAATGAACACATTGACTTGATATGACTTGTCTATACAGGGTTGTGAGGGAGCCACGGGCACAAGACAGGACACACCCAGGATGGGATACCAGTACATCGTAAGGCACAAACAGACAAATACAGACACCAGCTCCAACTTTCCCAGAAGCCAATTAACCTACCAGGATGTGTTTGGATTGTGGGAGGAACCTAAAGAACCCAGAGCCCCAGCGCTGCAAGGCAGCAATGCAAGCCACTGCACCACTTTGCCACCCAAACGGTAAACATATTAAAGCAAACCGGTGATCCAGGTTTATCAGAGTATTCCCCTGTACAAGTCAGGATTCTGAACAGCAAATATGTTCTTAATGGAAAGAAGCAAAACAAATATTTGAAAGAGTGATGATCATCACTAGTAGGCATTATTCTGCTCTTCACCTCAGTGGACTTTTGAGACGTAACATAAATTAACTGTCTTCCTCGGCAAAGAAGCACATCTTGCCACTTCAGTAGGAAAACCCAGCATTCAGGGTCTCGACAAAACACTTTATACCACACAACCACTCTGTGAGCTTGAACTGAAAAACCAAGCCCAAAGCTAAAACATCTGATCTGAGCCCACTTATAGAGCGCAGACACGGCAGACAGCGCCCTCCACTGGACAGGACAGGAAAGGATACAGTCATCAGGAGCCCACCAAAGAGGAACATGAAGACAAAGTCAGCGGTGCGTCCCCGAAACGATCCTTCCTCCAGCATTCGGCAATACCTGTATCTGGGAGCCCATGGTTAAGGACACCTCTGAACAGCACACTCTAACCCCTGCTGGTGTAGGATTTACATGATTCAGGCCCTTATTTTGTATACAGTTGTTTGACCTCCTGTGAAATCTAGAGAGAGCAGGTGGTCAGGCCCATATAATAAATTGTACCTATTCTGTTATTTCGCTTCAATGAGCGGTCTGTGATTTTTTCTTCCTTTTGTTACGTCATTCTGAATGGTAATTTTGCTCTCCCCCCGATCATCTGTGCCTGCTACCCAGCCAGAAAGTCAATGATCACTATATTGCAGTTTAGTTAACCAGGGAAAGGATACAAAAAAATCATGTTGAATAAAAAGTTAAACCCAACGGGACCAAAGAACAGGAAATTAGTGATTAGGCGCCAGACCTGAAAGAGAAAGAAAATGATTATTGATGGAGACACTATCCTGCATTTAGGGCAGTAGAATGTTTCACATATTTAGACCTAAGGGAGCCACAGAAGTGATGCAACACAATTCCTTAGCTAGTTTCAATAATCAGGAAACATGTCACGGCCTCCAAATGGGCTGATGGAAGGAGTGTGGCACTGCACACCACTGCTTTTCCCTGATCATTTTTATCAAATCAGGTCCTCGTATGCAAAGTATTGAGGCTTAAAAAATGGGGGGGCGGCACACAGAACAAGAGGCAAGGAAACCAAAAAAAAAAATAATCCTGGACAGACATTTGGTCGTATGTCCTTTCCGGAAGAAAGTCAGTGCTACACCAATCAGTCCAGCTCACACTGTGTGCGATTATAGAACCAGATGCATGAAAAACACTTAGCAGCTATAAAAGATCATGAGGAGTATTTGAAAACCCACTCACCTGATAATGCTTAAATATTAAATCTGGGTTGAAATAGAGCTGAAAAGGTGTGATGACCTCTAATTGCTGGAAGAAGGAAGGAGAGGAGTTATAACACAACCCCATACACAAATCCCCTCCTAGATAACAGGCAGAGAAGATCTGGGTCACGTATACAGTCATTACTAATAGTAGACCAATGCCAAAACAACACTATAACTATAACTAGTGGTTTTAAATCTTTCATTAAACAATTACTATCTGTACAAGAAATTAGCCCTCTATTGAAGTTAAAATCAAACATTGAACTGTAATGGAATGAAAAGACCAAATTAAAACTTTTAAAGGAACAGGAGTGTCTTGGTAAGTGAAAAGTGCTATCCATTGCAAGAAAATAATCATACACACTCAGAGATATATATATATATTGTTTCAGTGCTTTTAGACTGAGAAAACTTTCTACTGATGAAAATCAGTTGGGTGGACAAAGCTTTACAAGTTTCGATCTGGTTCAGTTACACTTTCATAGACAAAGTCGTCTTCCCATTTTCGCGTCTGTTGTAGACAGGGTAAATTTATTTAAAACCATTACACAATAACTTAGGAAGTTCGTAATTAAGCTTGACTGGGAGCTTCCATTTTTAAAATACCTAGATGGCAACAGGAGAAACAAATAAATTGAGGCATTTGCTATGTCCACAGGGCTAAAATGTCTCGAATTAAATCTGGGCTTTCATCTACTTACCACGGCAGCAGTGGTGAATACACAGGCGGTGGTATAAGCCCGAGTTACTACAGGAATCTGGAGATATTCCTGATGGAAGGTTTGGTAAGCCATCTTGAAAGGGGACTGGGCGCTTCCGGCACTTTCCTGACACGTCAGAAGAGGAGTACAGCAAAGGGTGAAGGGTCGGGCCAGGCCAGTCGCGGCTTTTCATTGGACAGCTCAATTCCAGCGCTGCCCGTGATTGCGCCACGGCCATGTCGATCACTAGCTCAAGGGGGGCGTTTCCACGCTCTGGCGAGTTTTGATTAGTCCCAGAAAAACTAAAGGCGTGGTTTCTGTTCCGAGTCTACGTTTCGATTGGATAACCCAGCAACCCTGTTTACATGCCAGTGATTGGGTGGCGGGCGCGTGTCTACATCTGTGGGTGGGAGGAGTCCGCCGGTCCCTGCTTGAGCGGGAGTTTTGGAAAATGGCGGTGAACGGAGGAGGTAACAGGTTTTTTTGTTTACTACAATATATTTCTGTTATAATAAACCCCCACCTTTCCTCCACTATCTGATAAAGCGACTTTTTTCTTAGTTTCATTATTAGCAAGTGCACAGAAAAGCAGGAAGGAGGAAGACCTCAACACGGGACTTGCATCTGGAAAATGAGAATGAATGTAGTATGATATATTGATGAATGGGTAATATTGTGTTTATGTGTGTAACTGCGTCAGTATGCGTAAACTGCAAAGGAACAAGTAATATGTTTGCAGATTAGAATGGCATGTGTTTAGCAATAATATTTATGGTACCTGAAAGTTTCAGGTTGTTGCACAAAGCTAAGGTATGCGTATACGACAACTGGAATCAATTTCCTGTCGTTAAACTCTGTTTATTTTTGGAAGAAGGCTCCACGGCCGAAACGTTGTGTTTTCTTTCTTCTCTTTTCAGCCTGGAATAAACCTGTACATTGTATTTATTACCTTATAAAATGTGGCATTTTAAAAGTTGTTTTATGCTTGAACGTTATGTTGCCTATTTACATTCAGTATACAATAACAAGAAAATAAAAATAAACTGAAAATTCGTCGTAGGTGTTGCCTGTTCTACTTGTAGTTAAATTACAGTAATTCAAAAGTTTAGAACAAGTGATAATCCCGTGGGTTAATGCGAAAGCTGCTATCTTCAGTAACTGGTCCTGTATTTAGACGTATAACCGTGGAAATGCCTGAATCACGAATTATAAGCAAGTTACTTCTGTTACATGAAGGGCGTGATTTTTTTTCCAAGACCCTATGTTCTGTTTTGACTCCAGCCGGGCCCCTGCCCTCAGCTCTGGCCGAGTCCCTGAAGCTGTACGAGGCTCAGTTCTTCGGCTTCACGCCCCAGACCTGCATGCTGCGGGTGTACAATGCCTTCCAGGACAGCCTGTACGAGATCATGCTGATCGTGGAAACCGTCCTGGTGAAGAAGATCAGGGGGCCCGAGGCCGCCGGGGAGGTGGACAGCCAGACGAGGCAGCGCACGCAGAAGCTGCTGACCTTCCTGCAGAAGCGCATCAGCCGCCTCACGGGCCGCATGGAGCGTTTTCTGCAGAGCAGCGTCCTGCAGGTGCCGGCCAACGTGCTGCTGCCCGAGGACGCGGCGCACCAGCAGCACCCTCGGGGCCGGGAGCGGCTGGTGAAGCTGGAAGCGGAGCTGGCCGCCTTGCAGCTGCGCTACCAGGCTGAGGTGGGCGCCAGGCAGGCCCTGCTGGCGGAGCTGGAGGAGCAGGAGGCGGTGCAGGCGGAGCTGGCCGGCTTGCTGAAGTGCATTTCTGAAGTGCGGGCCGCCTACGCGCGGGGCGGGATGGGTTGGGTCCAGGAGAGCTTCACCTACGTGCTTAAGACTGCCAGGCGCATCCAGGACGCACTGAAGGAGATCGGCAGCAAGGCTGAAGGGCTGGATGAGCTGTGACACCTATTGCTTCGGCTGCACGCTGTGGGACGTGTCCATGAAAAGGTCGTTTCCCGTCTAATGCAATTTGGAAAAGGAACAATTTCCCGACCGTCTCTGCAGTAGATCTTGGACTGATCGGGTGGGAACACGGTCGCATAAGCTTTCCCTTACAATTGGACAGTTGTTTTCTACTTGATGTTTTCTACTGCTTTCAACTCTTTGTTTCTTATTGTATGGTTTCAGTTTAAATTAAATAAAGATGATTCTTTTCAGCTTTAATGTAGAACAAGTTTTAAGAATTAAATTGTTAAACAGAATTATTTCATTCAAATGACCTGCCAGATTCCTGATTTGTGTGTGATAATGTGGTTCTGCATAAAATTGAGGTTTCATTTAGTCATTACATTTATAGACAAAATATTTTACATAACTACCTTTTGTTATATATGCACATACAGTATATTTTAATTGGCTGCAAACTTGTCACAGTAATTGTATCTTATTCAAGCTAAACACATGCTTTTGAGAATTCAAAAGGAAACAACTGACTATGCTTAATTGTATGCATAATTAAGAATATTGAGTTTGTGTAAAACTGGATTTAGTTTAACTTCTAAAAGATAGAAATCCTCTTCTTTTAATGGTTTTTTTATTGTAGATGTTGTACTGAAAACATAGACTAAGATACATGACATTTACAAACTTTTTCAGTCAAAGCAAAAAATGAAACCATGCCTACAGGTTATAGTCTGTTGAAAAAGATGTAAAAAAAAAATCTCTTTTGCAAGACATTTGCAGTGCTTTGCTAAATTGTAGACTTCCTAGTTCTATGAGAAAAGCAAGCATTGTTGACAAAAGGAATTAAGGAAAGAGGATGTCTAATTAGTACTGAACTAGGTTTTTATATTATAGTATGGTCCATATGAATATTAACTCTGCTTAATGCATCTATACACTCTTACAAAGAAGGCTTGGCTTTATTCAAAGCCATACAATGGCCAGCCTGCCAGCTGTATAGGAACTCTGATACGTACCATATCACACACAGTGCTCTCCCAATATGAGACAGACACTAAAGTTGTCTTTGTGTATTACCAGTTATACCTAAATCCCTCATAAAAATAACTAGTGAGTTTTAATTTTCACTGAAGAGCCTCAGAGTCATATTATAGCTGGTGTGATTAATCTTCAAAGTGAAGATGAGCAGTTGAGCTCTAGGTGATGATGGACATCTCCTCGCGCTCTCGGCTCTCAGACAGAGTCTTTGCTATGGTGCCCAAGTAGCGCCGAAACACCTGCCGGATCTCTTCAGGGTCTTCCTCTAAGTTTGAATGGACCAGGTTCAACTTGTTCAGGTGTGGAGCTTCACAGAATAAATAGGTGAGAACAGTAAAGGTGTTAACTTTATTTTAACAGATGCAAGTTAAAAGAGCAGACTACCATCTGTATCTGAGAAAAATATGATGATGGGAAATGTATGAGATGAATGCTATTTCTAAGACCTATCTATAATATCACACTATAACAAATGCCTACCAGAGCAGAGTTCTTTATATTATAGATGGTAGGAAAAAAACAAAGGCAAAGTAGCTTTTGTGGTAACGCAGCAGAATCTCTAACCAGTGCAATAACAATAAAATAGATATAATTCTCAATTTCTTTTATATTTTTAAGTTAGATATGATAGAAGGTGTTGTTAATATGTTTAATTTTCTAAGGCTATGAATACTTAAAAAAACATCCAGGAAATACAACTATAAATTGGGTGCAATTCAGGTAGTAGATTTGTCTTCAATATATTTTTTCTGTTTTACTTATCACCTTTGAAAATATAACTTAATAAAAAGTTAAGTACATTTGAGACTAAATAGCATACAGGCTATTTTGTATTTCCCAAGGCTAACTAAATGATCATACCTAAAGCTGGCTGTCCATTGTTGGTTCCGCAGCCTGGTTTGTGGTGAGCCATCAACAGACATTGGCTATCCTGCATCCCTTGTGCGGAAATAAATGAGGAGTACCAGGTCTCCACTTCTTTTAAATGGCTTGGCATGTCAAGGTTAAACATAATGACCACCCCATTGGAATCCTTCATCATAGCTGGCCAGCAGGACTCAAATCTTTTCAGCATAAACGAGATAAAAGCCAGGGAATATAAAATGGAAACATATTTCTATAACCATTATTATCAACAGGAAGTACAAAAAGTTACAAGGTCAAGCCTAGTTTGAATGCTTACTCCGTACAGCACAAAAATAAAACCAGAGACTTGGAGAGCACATTTTTTGAGACTGGAACTGAACAAGTTTAAATGTTCAATACAATCAAAACCCTGAAAAGCAGATGCTTTATCTCCAGTGTGACTTTCCTCTGCTATAGCAGCATGGTTCAAGTGCATACTGCACAATTTGTTATTATACCAATCGATGGTTACATTGTGAGTTTTCAGCACTGATTATGAGAAAGACTTTTTATTAGTAACTAAAAACACAGTTTTGATCATTAATGTGGTACTAATTATAATGATTCACAATTTACAGTTTACCACATCTCAAGTTTTATAGGATCTACCTAAAATAAATACAGAATTTTTAGTTATAATAAATAAAGCTCTCACTGTTGACACAGTACATACAACAGTTCTCTAGCTCAGTTTCTTTGTATATAAAGTCAAAACTAGGGACACCTGTTTCACCCTTGTAAGTGCTGGTAAGTGGGACAAAGCTAAATGACTACCACAACAGGTCTATATAGGTGTGGCTTACAAGAAAACACCCTTTAGAGTGCATTTCTATACAGTATAATGTATGCTTGCATGTACAGGATCAGTGATTTGCAGCACAACCCACTTTCGGTTCAGCTTCAACTGACAAATGGATGACCTGATACTCTCCTCCGGAATTCAGGAACCCATGAATGAAGTTAAGGAGACACAAGTTAAGGATCTCCCACAAACAAGTCTGACTACCAAGTATAATGATGGTACCTCACGGGCCCACTCAGTACTGACACACGAGATTTCTACCCACTGCAGCACAACACAGACACACAAGAGCTCATCCTGCCAGGACTGCAGATTTCCAGAAATGACGTTGTCCTTACTTTAGATCACCAGCGCAGTCCCAAAGCTCCACTTCACATCCCACATTTTTTCCAGAACCTCCAAGACTCTGGCACTCAAACTCCAGAATCCTACAAGGGTGATCAGTTCATGAACAAAACATATTTTAGAAATTGGTTCACATGTGAAATACTGTGCTAACAACTGTTTTCAAAACCTAGCAGTGATTTACATTTCTCAAGACACCATTTTCCATTCATCCATTTCATAAAAGTTTCTTCAAATTAAGGGTCATGGAGGGAGCTGGAGCCTATCCTGACAAGGAACAAGCACAACGCACACAAGTTTTCCCAGAAGCCTATAAATCTGAAGACACCTCCTGTACTTGAATAATAAATGTCTGAGTCAAATAGCTCAGTAATTGAAACACCTCTTTCCAGTGCAGACATGTATGATTAATTTTACCAGTGCATTTATGTAATGAGTTTACCAGATTGCATTCTTCTTAAATGACTAAGGGTCTTATCATAAGGTTTCCCAAAAAAAATTTCAGTTGGGATAACTCAGTTTCTGTCATGTAATTAACTTTACATTTGATGCTTAGATTGCAGGCTTCTTGGTTTACTTTGGTCAAAGCCAGAACACAAAATTATACATAACTTTCCCACTGAAACGTTACCTAGAATCTATGCAGTTCTCAAAAAACAAGATTGTTACCTCACTCCCTGAGTCGGATTGTACTCTCCTCCCACTGTTTCTGTGGTATCCGAAAGAAAATTTGCCACCACGGATTTTCCACACTGTGAGGGGGAAAAGTAACCATATTGCAGCTATATTAATGTTTAGATTTCACTTTAAGTTTGACATTTTTATATACAGTCAATTCTTAGTGATCCATACTTCAGTAAACTACAAGCCGCTTAAACACTTGCAATTGCATCGTGTAAATACAATATATTTGTAATCGATGATTCGATAATTTTAATGCATTTCATTTATTATTAGCTCTTATGTAATGTATGTGTTTTAAGAAAATTCGATTTCATCTTACCTCACCTGGTCCAACTATTAATATTTTCATTTTAAACATTTTTCTCTTTTCCTGAAACCTAAACCTAAAAAGTAAAGAAATGTAGGAAGCGGTTGCACACCACTAATTATCACTGTCCCGATACAAAACAAAAAGGGTCACATGATGTCAGACAATAAAAAAATAAAGCTGAAAATGCTCACAACTAAAAAATTACGACGTACATATTTCTGTACAGATTTACAGGACAACAGTACCGCGCACAGCTCTTCCATTCACAAAAATGTCAACAAACTCTGTTACTACACTCTGTTCCTAGGCACTAGGTATATCTATCTTGCCTTCCGATTAGCCCATTTCTAAAATAAACGCATTTAAGATATTTTAAAAACAGTTTCAATTTACACTATTTTAAATGAATAAAGTTATAAAATGTTTGCATTATACAATTTATATTTAACAGGGCAAAATTAACCGAGTATCGGGGGAATGCTTATATAAAATAACGTTTACTTCCTAGTAACCTTTTAGGATGCAATACTTAGCAGGGTCGAATAGTGTGGCAGATTCGTCATTTTCAGACAAAAAAAATTATAAGGACAATGATCAAAACACATTCTGTGATGTGGATTTAGGGAGTTTTATGCATTCCTGTAACGTCTGAATCTGAGGATGGAATTGAAAAGGAAATATTTTCAGCGTTACACTTCTGCATCTCTCTAAAAACGGGTTTTTACCTGCACTACAGTGCACCTCACTAACATTTAAAACGGAGATTGATTTATTTCCCCGAGAAACTGAAAACAGCCTAACCGATGGCACAAACCTCACTACGTTTTCACAGGACTCCGAAAACATATTTAGTGCAGCCCATTTACTAGGAATGATGCCCTTCACGACGAAATGAGGAGGATCCTTCAAGAACAAGCTGAATGTGAACCTTCATTAAGTTATCCACTAGCAAAACGAGCTGGAACTGTTGAATGGCTCCTCCCATTTTCAACTTCATCGCTCATATCATGTCCTGCTCATGATGCTAATGTTAGAAGTAAGTAAATTATTATTTTTGTTAATACACCAGCCATCACTGCTGTAGCTACAGTGGAGACTTCCTATACTGAAGGAACATGTAAAGGTTAATTCCAAGGTTATTCCAAACATAAGGAGAAGAAACATCGTTTTGGCTGTTCAGCCTACCTGAGGTGGCGTGTATTTTGGTTTTTGTGTGCTGGTAAGGTGAACGCTTACTTTGTTTTCAGTTTCATGTTTAATTTGGTGTCGGATGTGGAAAATGTGCAAAAATGATGAATTTGGACTTAGTGCCTTGCGTTTGGTAGGACCTTAGATGACACGCATAAAGACACAGTCAGCTTTCTTTATTTTTCAGCACCACAGCTTTCAGCAAACATTTGGGAGATTGAGATTAGTAAAGGGATTCATGTGATGTAATTGGTCCAAATCAAAGAAGACGTCCCTAGAAATTGTCCTTGTCAAATCTGTCAGTGTTGAAAAAAGAGTCATGTGCCCTGGAATCAGTTGTCAAATCTGAAGGATCAGAGCTTGAGGGAACATCCGCTCAACAAGAGAGGTGTGAAGACCCGCACGTTGTGGTGAAAGAGGAGGAAGAGAACCATGAACCGGGCTCAGGCTGGCACGAACACAGCCCCCCTCAGCTGGAGACCACTGGGCAGAGCAGGAAGAGGGCATCTGTGTGTTTGAACCCTGAATCTGACTTCGGCTTCGGCCACAGGACCAGCTTCAGCAGCCCCTGGCAGACGGCCGTGCTGACTGTGGGAAAAGCTTCAGCCATACCTGAAACACCTGCACCTGCGAGCTCACTCTGGGTGAAAGCCATACCAGTGCCACCAGTGTGGGAAGAGCTCCATTAGCATGCAAAGCCTGTTGACCCACCTTCAGCTGCGCAGGGGAGAGAAACCCCTCAGTTCAGCTGCAGCATGTGAGGTGTCACGAGCACATTCACAGGGGAAAAAAACCCTGCAACTTTGGTTGCTGTGTCAATTTAAACTTTTTTTTTATGAACCCCTGTACCTCTGTTCTAATTGTCTCTGGTTCAATGAACTGGAAGTTGTTGTTTTCTGTAACTACTATTACATATGCTTTGTGGATTGTAGTTTAGGGTATCTGTATACACCGCATGGTGTTCCGATATTCAGTACATAAGGCTTCTGATAAATACCTTTGGTGGAGATACCTTAATACTGTGCATCGCCAATCCATACTTCAGTGTGAGCAGACGGCCAGCAGGTAGCGCTCTTCCCTATGGCGCAGAATTGCCAAATCAATGCTCCACAACTGCAAGTTCGGCTGAAACTTCTGACATTTACACTCTTATTGTAGCCTCTAAAAAATGCAGAGATATAATTTTAGATAATCATCATTTTCAAAAGCATAGAATAAAAGAACTCTGCATTGGCAACTCTGCAAGAACCCCAATGGGAAGAAGATGTATTTACTACCGTGCGCAAGGCTAGTTTGTGACTGAAGTTCTGTGCTGAATTAATATATGTACGAATTACATATAGTAGTACCTTTCTTATTACTTCAGATATAAATATTGGATTAAAATATCTTCCGATGCTTGGGCAAATTTTAATAATCCGTTCAAAACCCCTTTCTTTTAGGCAGCTCCGTGACGTTGCCACGGTTTTCGACTTTAAATTTAACATTTTTCAACTTGTGTCGACTTGAGTTGTTGAAACCAGCTGTGCTGCTATACTGTACTTTGCTGGCAATGAAACTCACGGTCTTCAGAGAAGGAGTTTTGTCCCGAACTGCTTCTCGTAGGAGACTGGAACTTGAAGTAGGATCGAGAGGTGGATCTTAAATAATAAAAATATTATATGGAAGAGTATTGTTTATGTTTATTTCAAGCCATTTTAAAATTGATTTCGGAACTTAAAAGGGTGTTATTGGGATTTCGAAATGTAATTTATAAATGTTTTGTTTCCATTTTTTTCTTAGCTATCGAAATGGGTTTTAATTCGATCCGTGACGTACAGTCCTGGTACGAATCGTTTAAGAGTGCGATAACAAGCGCCTAATACCGAAACTACCCATGTACTGTACCCTATCTGCTGATTGTGACTGGTGCCAGATTGCTGCAGTGATGTTTCATACCATAAGCATGTAGACATGTTTTTCTCTCTGTCTTCAAAATACCCTTCTATAACTAAAACGACATAGACAAGTTAGTTCAGTTCGCTTTCAGAAAGGCGAATGGTCTGGGCTGGGATGCTACCGATGGGATATTTTTCAAGGCCAATCTGTTGGAAACTCTCTGGAAAATAAACTGATGAAGCGTAAATACAAAAAGCAGCATACGAGGTCATTTTGTCTGTGAAAGATATTATATAGAAGCTAAAAATACATTCAGTCAGGTTATTAGTAGCAAAGCTATTTAATAATTTTGTGAGCAGTATATTACATTATTCACGTTAAGTTTTAGTTTTACTGATGTTTTGATCCATTGAGATTTAAGAAATGTACAAAATTCAGTAACTAGCTTTTAACATTTAACATCTGACTAACATTTCACCCTGCGTGTGTAAGACCAGAATGCAATGAAATGTTATCTCAACTAAAGGTCAGTCCTCTCTTGGATAAATGTGTAAGGGAAATTTCCACAACAGTAAATTCTGCTTTCTTTGTCTGAACTTTGGATTGAGCATCAGGTAGCTGGGTTGTACAACGTTATTAGAAAGAAGAATTAAGTCATGTGATTTTAAACAGCAGATAAAGTGAGCATTTGTAAATATGTGTATTCCTAAATCATTTATTATTAATCATTCCTTAAGGTTTTAAGCTTTTTAAATGGTATTGAACCTTTGAATAATGATTATCAAGTGAAGCTTTTACTTACCAAAATTAAAAACTTAAAAGCAGTATTATAAACCTATTATTGAGCTAGTATGGTATAATAGATGCTTAATTTATAGTTAAATATTTTTGTTTCTGTCCCTAAGATTAATTTTCCCTAAACATGCATCCTGCAATTCATTTAGCCAGAGGCATGGCCTGCTAGCTGCACCCCTAAGGATCAGATGTTTAATTTTATGAAAATGTCACTGTAAGTATATATGTGAGTGTAATAGTATTGTAACCATTGTCTTTTTCAGCTCTGTGGTGTTAAAAACACGTCAGCTGATTCAGATGACCTGGATGATTGACATGATGGAGTCTGCCCATATTAACAAAGAGGTCCCAGAAACAGCAGGGTCTTTCACCACCGAGACGTTATCTGACTTAAAACCGCTCCACGAGAGGTCTGGAGGATCAGATCTCGAAGACAGCTATGCGAAAGAAGAAGCCTGCGAAGACCTGCGCATTATTGTGAAGGAAGAGGAGCAGGAGCTGGAGATAAATGGGGATAAAGGGGAAGCCGAAAAGCCCCGTCTGTTAGTGGACAGTGGAGAAAGAGTGTCTTTGTCCTCAACGGCTGTGGTTTCTCTGGACTGTGATCCCCGTTCCTGTTCGAATTCCGGGAAGAAGAAAAAGATCCATCATTGCACTGAATGCGGAAAGTCCTTCAAGTTCAAGGGGATTCTCGAGGAGCACCAGAAGACTCACACAGGCCAGAAGCCCTTCCGCTGCACTGCATGTGGTAAGACTTTCAGCACAGAGAGGTACCTCCAGCACCATTCCCGCTACCACACAGGGGAGAAACCGTACCTGTGCCAGGACTGCGGAAAAGGTTTCTGCCACCTGAAAGACTTGAACATTCATCGGAAAACTCACTCCGGAGAGAAACCGCACCGCTGCGGAGACTGTGGGAAGAGCTTCGGCCACTTAATGTACCTGAAGAGGCACCGGCGAAGTCACACCGGCGAGAGGCCGTTCACCTGCAAGGTGTGCCGGAAGACTTTCGGCTGGTATGTAAGCATGGTCAAGCACCAGCGCACTCACACGGGGGAGAAGCCCTACCAGTGTAACCTGTGTGGCAACAAGTTCACCGAGAAGCAGAGCCTGACCACTCACCTCCAGCTCCACACCGGAGAGAAGCCGCACGTCTGCAGCTACTGCGGCAAGAGCTTCGGTCTGGTGCACCACCTGCGGCGGCACGAGAACATTCACAAGGGGGCCAAGCCGTACCTGTGCCAGGTCTGTGACAGGGGCTTCAACCAGCCCGGGAACCTGAAGTCTCACCTGCGCACTCACACGGGGGAGAAGCCATTCAGGTGTGACCAGTGCGGGAAGAGCTTCACTCACAGGGTGAGCCTGAAGAACCACCTGCAGAGCCACTCGGGGGGGAAATCCTAGTTCCTCTGCCGGTGTGGGAAGGGGGAGAAGAGAAATCGGAGCAGGAGATTCTGCTGCTTGGAAAATCTGGTATCCCACAATGTGGAGAGCACGGGATGAATTTAGCAGGTGTTCGACTTTTCAGATTTACTATTGTGATGGCAACTCCTTTCAGGAGGAAAGCTCAGTGCTCAGTGCTGTTTGGATGCCAGACTCCGGGATTGGCTTTGTCATTAAACGTTTGTGGATGTGAGCTTTTTTTTGTGTGCTAAATATGCAGTGTCTATGCTTTGCATTGCTGTCAAGACAATGACATTAGTGTTAGTGAGGTCGTTACATTGTCATAGGCTTGACTTTTGCAGAAGTTAAGACGAAGGTACCCTTTAAATGACATGAGGTTAGTGGTGTTTCACCTAGTATGCTAGGTGTGTCAAGGCACTTTTAATTTTATTTTTTTCAATCCAGGTAAAGAATAGCAAGAGTGGAAAATCTAGCCCCATTAAATGCATGATTAATGTCCATGTTGCATATTAACGGGAGTTTTCCAGTTCAAATCCTTTATGATTCCAGCCACAGGGCCATATAAACCCATCAATCAAACAGATTCTGTGAGCTGTGTAAACTGCAGGTAGCAATTTAATGACTCTTGTTATTGCAGTGCAATTCAGCTGTTGTGCTAGTATGGATATCTTTGATATTATAGCATCTTCAATTACACAGTAATATATACATTTATACAAATCCCTGAATTTCTTCTGAAGTTCCTTAACCTTTGTGCCTGTTCTTAAACAGGCAGTTGAATCTGCAACACTACTTGTGAAGTTGTTTTTCAGGTAAGATGGGTGAACAAATCAAGATTGGATGAATAAATGTGATTTCTCCTCATACTGAGGACAGTTCCACATTTTATTATTAGTATAAAATGCATGACCTTGTCCACTAAAGTGGTAATGTGCCACAGAAAAGATATTTGGCATTTTCATGTAATTAACTGGGCGTTATTAATAGCATCCTTCATCAAGATGGCATCATTTTTAATAAAACCTAAATCATTTTTTCCAGACTCTGACTCCTTAATAATCTAGTCTACTTCTCTCCTTAATACATTGGGTACTGAATACCAGCAGAACAGTTTGGTGAGTGAAGCAACTAGTATTTTGCATTAGAAATGTAAGGTCAGTGTAATCATTTTGACTGAATCAGTGTTCTAATATGCTTTTTTTTAAATATATTTTCATAACCCAACTTTAATGTAATAAGATCTGTCAGATATATCATTTGCATCGGTTCGCAATATAGCCAAAATAGTTTTTTCCTTTTCTGAGGGGTGACATCACTACAAATTTTTTTAAAAGGCTCATGCTTTGTTGTCCCCTAGGGGAAATATTTTATGGACACACATTGCTTCTGTACATTTGAATATATTACAGGATGAATATATCATTAAGGTTCTGCTGTAGAAAGCTCCAGTGCTGAAACTCTAACCATGAAACTATGTGAACCATGACCAAAATCATACTGTAGAGCTGACACTGCTATATTCTGTATTCTGAGTGGTTTTCTGTTTCTTACTAGCATTTGTCCAGTGATCAGAATCAGGTACTTAATGCCATAGGCTAAGGCAAGGAAAATATCATATGACTGGAGTTGAATGACATTTACTGTGCAGCATGGAACAGACTAAAACAGAGGCAGGCAGCAAACTAGTGAAGTATCCTGTCATGACCTAATTATATATTTAAGGAACAGACTTCAATGTTGCTTGAAGAAACATTAAAAATATAATACTTTGAAGGTGTATGTAAATATCACGTCTAGAAAATGGCTCATAGAAGCAAAAAATTGTTAAGTTTGCTTTAAAAAATTTATTTAAAAAAATCCATCTTTCATTTCCATATAAAATACATGATTTGAGTTAAAAGATTATATATTAATGAATGTGCATAACTGTCACTATCTTCAATTCAATTAATAAAGTACAGAGTTGAGTATAAAGAATTACACAGACATAAAAAATAGGCAATACTTTAAATGTATTAAATGAACAGGCTGAATAATGAGAAATAAATTGCAACAAAGAGAATGAGGGCATTTGAACATTTTAGGCATGTGAATGCTTGTCAATAGCTTTTAACCGCAGTGTCCCGGCTTAAGTTCCACTCTGGGTTTGAACAATAGGGCTTCTGGAGCTCCACTTCTCCCCTTAACTCAATTCAAACAACTCCTCACTCCCCCTTGCTGAAGTGCAGCTGCGGGGGCAGAATGGCTGCTGAAAGTCACCCTGATGGGTGCAGCACCTCAGCAGTGCTGAACTGGATCCTTCCCTGTGTGTAAAAAGGGCTTTGGGATGAAAAGCACTATACCAATGCAAGGGATTATTATGAGTATACCTGGATGATAACAGTTAGAGTCTGTCATCTTGTTCCTGGAGAGTTTCAATCCTGTGGGTTTTCTAGTGGGGTTTGGAGACTTGGAAAGACGTGTTTGTTAACTCAGCGCTGATTTAGCAAATAGCTGGTTCAAGTGAATCATTCCTGAAGGTCAGCGTGGCTCTCCAGTTGAGGGGTCGCAGGTATCTCGGGTGCAGGGCTTCAGGGGGTAGTTTATAATTTCACGGTGCACAAGAAGATTTACTTGACCTGGCATATTTTAATGGAGGTACCGACCCCAAAGCCAGGATACAGTGGCTCAGTGAAGGTGGTCTCAAATCTGTGAAGAAGGGTCATTGTGTCGGAGATGCTGTAAAAGGACAGGGTGCCTGCAGCGTGATCCAGGTAGACCCCAATTCTGGGGGAGTGTGCAGCTTTGATATATACGTCTTCCCTGTTGTGCCAAGCAGAGTAGCCTGAATCAGAGCACAGCAGACTCCAGGACTTGTCATTGTATCCCAGGAGGCACAGCGAGCCCTTCCCTTTCCTACTGATTCCTTTGTATGTGACTCCGATGGAGAACTCTCCGCTCCATTCTATCTCCCAGTAAAAGCGATTATTTTGCAAAGCCTCTCGGCACAGCACTTGGGCGAAGCTGTCAAATCTCTCTGGGTGATCGGGATACGGCTGGATTTCTCGGGTCCGAATCACCTTTCGGCTCCCTTCCGACAGATGAAGCTCTCTGTAGGCCGTGTTGGGGTCGAACCTGAGCTGACAGAAGTCTGAACGAAGAGGTGAAAGGGAAAATGGATTATCCAGAACAGTCACATTCCACTAATTTACTGATTACTGATTTATTTTAGTATTTGTGCTCCGCTGTTTCTTACACTTTTCTGTGTTTAGATCTAAACCTTCCAGCCTATGCTTTGTATGTTTTACAGTATATTGGATTAAATCACATAGGAAAATCAGAATCTTCTATTCCCTAAAGAAATACAGTACAGTAGTGCACAATAACTGCTCAGGAAAGCTCTGGATGTTTCTGTTGATATTTCTGTTTAAATACTATAGTGATATAATAACATTATTGATTACATAATAAAATCTGCTACTACTTTAATAACAGTAGTAATAACTACAATTGAGTTTAAAATATGTAAGATAATTTTCTGCTACATTAAAAGGCATAAAGAAATCTCTTCCTAACGCAAATTCACATTGGAACTGAGTCTTTTAATGGCATGGAAAAATCAGCTTAAACTACAGTATTAAATTCTGTATAAATATTTACATTTTAAAAAGTCCAGTCTTGTCTTCGGTTCTGGAGCTGGAATGCTGTCGACTGAAACTTCATTAGCTGAAAATAAAAAAAAAAGAAATCAAATTAATATTTTGAATACATTCATCTAAAAGTCTCCAAACAGGCCTAACTATTGAGCGTATCATGTTACAATAAGGACCAGGCAAGGCTGAAGCTGTTAATAACTTTTATTTTTATAGCTCACATTAGTCAAACCCACAGTTGGACATCAATAGCTTACCGCTCAATATAGTCAAAGCTATCCTTGTCCAAACACATGAGAATCTGGTCATTTACTTCTCTGGATTGTAAAGCTTTACCTTTTATTTGCCTTTCTTTGATCCTGTTCTCCATATGGTAGACGGGGGTCTCATTCACTACAAACGAGATGCGAAACATACAAGTGTATTATAACCTGGTATGTGTGTACTCTGTAAATGTTTTCCTTTAATAAAATGAAGTTGACAAAAAATAGGATGTGTTTAAACCACAAAAATGTCAACTATTTCCAGAATGAGATTCCACTCACTATTCACAGCCACTGTATACAAGGGAGGTCATGATGTGCCAGTGCCTAACCTGGCAGACGCAGGGCAGAAGGTGGGGTTACTAGTCCATCCCAGGAATCACAAGGACACAGGAGCAAATCAGAGATGCCAGTTAACCCCTCCCACATGCCGTTTTGGAAAGTGGGAGCAAATCTGTGCATCTGGAATCCAATTCCTACCACCGTAGGGAGAGCACCCAGATTCCTCAGCCTGGAACTGAAAGCCCATACCCAGGCTGGAATCGTACCCCGGATTCAAGAGTTGTTAGGCAGCAGAGCTGCCACACCACCACGCCGCCTCCAGAATAAGCACCCAATCCCGAAACTATCTGGCGATCGATTCCCTCTCACCCATTCATTTCGCACATTCTGTTTGTTTGCTCACAGACCTCGCAGAAGATAAGAAACATTACCAATAACACAGGGACATTGGGCCCCTCAGCGCTCATTTGGATCTGTTTCTCTGTAGTCCCACAGCCCCACAGCTAGAACAGGCTGTACAGGTAACAGCCCATGCCGAGTATGGAATCACTCAGTACAGGGATGATTTAGAGCACTGAATCAAACCTCATGTGAAAATACACTGAGGGGCTGTGAGGCACTGCTGACTCAGACACAGCTCAAGAGCCTGTATAACACCAGTATCTATCAACTCCTACACACCTGACTTGGAGATCCTCAGTAGCTCCTCCCGGCTAATTTCTTCCAGGCGCTCTTTAATTTCAGAAACAGCTCTCCTCACAGCTCCAAAAGAAAAGTCGGGATTGACTGTCACTCTGGGTATGAGTCCATCTTCAGTTGGAGTGCTCAGGGAATTGAAATTCTACAACCGAAAGAGCACACAAGCGTTTTTGTCAAAAATGTTAAAATATGACCGATGTTTTGGTAAAAGTAGGGAAAGGTTAAAAGCCAAACTTTTGTACTTCCAAGACCTGGTGGCACTACCTGTAAGAAGTGTATATGATCCTCCGTGCTGTGCAGCTGCTTCACACTCATCTCCCTCCTCTTGAGCTCTTCGATCTCCTGCTCCAGCCTCTCCACCAGCCCCTCCGCCTGATTGAAAGCTGCTTTCTCGTTAATGCCGATCAGCTTTGTTACTTCGGAACGCATCCTCTCGATGGAGCGCAGCATCTCAGTGAACATCTTCTCACTTTCGGCCATGGCTCTCTGGGCTGAGCTCTGATCGAGGGGACAACGAACAAAGAACCATCTGAGAACGCACCCTGACGAGGACTCACCCACACATCGTGTAGGGATCAGACATGCTCGTGTGACACCAGAGCTCAGACGCTTATTTTTCTAGGCTTCATTGAATCGACTTCCAAAATGTTTACGTCGACTTTTTCAATGTCAACCAAATAGACTGTTCCTGTTGCAGCACAGGAATTTAAGAGAAGTAGATCCTACCAAACAGAAGGCATGAGTTCTGAGGTGTATCAGTGTACCAAGTCATGTTAAGGACGTTGGTTTAAAAATGTTTATGGATCCTTTAAAAATGAAGGAAAAATGATTGTAGTTATTAATTGGACCTAGTGACCTAATTGAGTTTGAATATTCTGTTTCAGATTTAAAATGTTTCCATTCATTCATCCATCCATTTTCTGACCCTTTCATCCCCTTCAGGGCTGCAGGAGAACTGCAGACTACCCTGGAACGTTATGCGCACTCAAGGCAGGGTACATTGCAGGGCAGACAGAGACAGACACAAACACGCACACACTCACATCAGTACCGAATTTCCCCAGAAGCCAATTAAGCTGCCGGCATGTCTTTGGAATGTGGGAAGAAACTGGAGGAAACCCACATGAACATGGGCAGAACATACAAACTCAACACAGTGAGCTCCCGAAGTCTGGAACTGACCCCAGGGTCTCAGCACTGTGAGGAAGCAAGGTTAACTACTGCACCACCGCCCCACCCACTTACAATTGAACATTTTTCTCATTTACAAATCTGTCTTGGTTCTGGTTCTGCTCACCTTGAGAGAATCCACTGCCCGTCTCAAATCCTCCAGCTCCTTCACTCTCTCCTGGCACTTGTGGTAGATCTCTGCCTGTTTCACCCCCAGCTGTTTCTGCAGAGGTGCAAACGACACAAGTGGGTGGTCAGGTGCAGTGATGCACAACCTTGCATGCAAAGACATCTCAACATGTATCACTCTGGAAAGATTTGCAGCTGACTTCTGTACCAGCTTCTCTGTGATTTGGTGCTCCCTTGAAGCAAATCTATTTTTTTTACTCTAAGGAAAAGTTAAAAATGTCTTCCAGCTTCAAAATACGGTGAGATATTGGGTGATATAAGCTATTATAAACAAGTAGGCGTCCGTAGCCTGCAGCTCTTATAGTTCAAAACCTTGCACTGAGAACTCAGGTGCTTAGGAGTTAACAGAAAGCACAGGAATAATAATACTTTGTTGGTTTGTGATTGTAACATAGTCCACCCTCCTTTACATAGGAAACCTGTTTTCAACTCTAACGTGAGTTTTTCTTCTTTTTTTTTTGTTTCATTTGTGAAGAATGGCATGCCTGCTGACTGGCAAACATTGAAGGTTCAGAATTGTAAGTACTGGATTCTTGAGGCTGGTATCTGGGTCTGCCAGGCGCAGGTGGGTGTATCTCTGCACAGCAATGCTGACAATGAATGGAATGTGAGACTCTCATTGGCTTGGTGAAAAAGCGGAGATAAATCAGCCAGAGAGCCGTAACAGTTAAGCCCTTGTGCAATGTGACTTCTACACAGAAAGTCATTAAGTTCTTCATCCAAGTATGGCAAATGCCCGTTACCACTGTAACATGAGAATGGTTTCTGTTCAGCCCTTAGGCTCAGTGAGTGACCCAACATTAGAGATAAGCTTTAGGAATGATAGGAATCTGATGAGTTATACAAACATGAGTTATAAAGCTCACGTTCCCCGCATGTGTCCTATTGTAGTGCTTACAAATTCAGATTTTTATAAAGTACATGCATTTTGTTGCTTTTGCAGGATCATGATTTATTATTTCCACACAAATGTCCTTGGATGAATACCAAATGAAGGTTTTTTCAAGGTCATTTTCAACAAAAGTGTGAGATACAAAAGCGTGAGATACAAAAGCATGATTTGCAGTCCCTGCGATTTGCTTCAAAACAGGTGATAGGCTTTCAAAAAATATAATGTACACATGGCCCATAGAATGCAACCTTCCTTTGATGCTTAATTGCATCTCATAGTGAAGTGCTCTTGACAGTTTAAGCTTGGGTAACGGTGGGAACTTTATCGGATGACAGGACATGTGGCTATGGAGTGTACCTGTGAGAGTAAATCTCTAAGGTCATGTGAATTAAAAAAGAAAAAGCTCAAAGTGGCCTTGTAATGTGTCAATGGGACATGTTGACTTTATTACTCAAGGTATTTATTCTGGTTTTATTTACTGAGGTAGGTGGGGAAGAACTGTGCTCATTCAGTTTCGCCTTTTTTAGATACTCCATAAAGCTCCGAAAACATTCCTTGCCTTGTCTTCAGGTACAGCAGTTCCCATTTTAAAAGCAATAAACAGTACTGAAGTGCTTTCCCTTGGGAAAATCAAACTTGATGAAAAAAGACCTTGGGGAATCACCCATTAAAGATTAAAACGTGATTGATGAGTCACCTTTAAGCAGGTGGAGGGCTGTTCTTTTAGTGATCAAACACCGTTAAAATTTGGCCCCACAGCTTTTCATTGGTTACCTTTCTGTGCTGTATTAAATTGCCATAAATAGCTATGTGTCATACTGTATTTTGCAACCGAGAGTGCTAGTTTCCTTTTTTTCATATCATGCACATTACAGCTTCTTAATTCATCAAGGTACATAAAATTAAACTTATATTAGATTAAGGCAAGAGAATCAAATCTGAGTCCACTTTGCAGTGACCTAAAATACAACAAACATACAGTAATAAATTGTTTGGAATCAACTCTTATTTTATGGTGCCATAAAAATGAAGAGAGAATTTGTCAAATCACTGATGCAGTATAGTTAATTATTTTTATCTCACATTACAAATAACACTCTGGAGTCAATGTGTGTCCACTGTAGGATTCTCATTTTACAAAATAAGCTTTATATGTTCTTTACAGTTAAAAAAACTTGGAAATACATCCCATGCCTTTCTGATATTCATGATATTCTATCTCTCCACAAATGAGTGCTTTCTAAAAGCAGTTTTACACTTTAAGGAGCTAATAACTCTTATAGAAAGACCCCCAGAATATGCTTCTACTTTGCAAAGTACTTTTGTTTTCTCAGAGTTGAGTCAAAGCCCTTACCTGCTTCTCAGCCCTCTCAGTTTCAGCAGAGACTAGGTCGTGTCCCCTGTGTTCGCTGACGGTACACAGCGCACAGATGCACATCTGGTCAGTGCGGCAGAAAAGCTCCAGCGATTTTTGATGCTGGGGACAAATCTTACGGTCCAGGTTCCCCAGTTCATCCACCAGCTTGTGCCTTTTGAAAGTGGCCGACTCGTAGTGGGGCTTCAGGTGCTTGTCGCAGTAGGAGGCCAGGCAGTTCAAACAGGATTTCACAGCCTTGAACTTTTTCCCAATGCAGAAATCGCACGGCACATCTCCCTGCCCGGCATAGCTGTTACCGGGAACTGGAGTCGTCTTCAGCTTCTCGGCCACTTTACTCAGCAAGGTGTTTCTGCGCAGGACGGGTCTTTGAGTGAAGGCCACCCGACACTGTGGACAGATGTAGTCACCTGTGTAATCTGCCTCATTCCAGAAGTTATTGATGCAGTCCATGCAGTAACTGTGTCCACAGGGAATTGCAACAGGATCCCTCAATATGCCCACACAGAG